ACAATCGAAGACTGGAACAGAAAAGAAACCTGCAGAGCCCATGGGTCCCTGAACAGAGGCCTATCTTCCCTATCTCACACTGATACTCTGATGCCAAGGTCATCTGACACAGGTTTTCCCTATGTAGCCCAGGCTAGACCAGAATTTATAGTGACACTTCTGCCTCCCAAGTATGGGGTCATAGGTCTGCGTTCATGCTTGGCCACTCCTTATGAGGACTGAGAGTATTTACTATACTGAAGTGCCTGGAGTCCCCACACCCAGCACAGAGGCTTCAGTACAAGCTAGGGGGAAGAGGGGAAGCCTTGGCCAGCCAAAGGGATGTATGAAGATGTGCCAGTTTCTTTTGGCACCTGCAGGGCCTTTTATGCAAAAGCCAAGAGGCAGTTGCAACTGGGATGGCAGTGCCCCGGGAGCCGCATGCACTCAGATCACAAAGGCACAGTGAGAGCCACAGCTGACTCATGCCAGAGGGCTAGGGTTGTCTGTGGGCACCGTGTCCATCGAAATGAAGAAGCCTCATGGGTGACCCTGGGAATGGAACACATGGTAGTCTCTTGCCCTTCCCAAGGGGGCCAGTGAGCCAGGCAGACTTGGCTCAGTTTTCTCTCCACATCACCAAGGCCAAATGCCCATAAGCACAGATGTGACTGTCATTCTGAAGCTAAGGCAGTCCCTGGGCCAGCAGAAGAGGGATGAGGCCCCATATGCTCGACTTTCTTAATTCTGCATGAGGTTTTAAGGCCCACAAAGCCAGTGACTCTTGAAGACCCTTTTGTAGGCTCACCATCCATGAGGCCAGCAGGATGAATTCGCCTAGTGCAGCAGCTGGCCAGGGTCCCTCCCTCCTCCACCTTTTCTTCTAAGTATTCTAGGCTCAAATCTCCATGTATAGGAAAACACTAGAATGCACCAAGTCACATTTACCCCTCTATCAAAGGCAAGTAAGAGTAAAGTCCTCACACAGAGAAAGGAGCTAGGAGGACCTGAGGCCACCAAAACACAGCTCTCCACTCTCCAGACAAGAGCTTCTGTTGACCATTCCAGCCTGTAGATGAACTAACTGTAGAGGGGTAAGCCACTCTGCCAGGGCCCAAAACTACAAGGAAGGAGGCTTGGATAAGCTTGAATGAGAATAAAAAAGTCAATTAAGTAATAGACAGCAGCTCTAACAGGAGGGCCAAGACCTCACTGTAGAGAAGTTACCAGAAAGCACTTCTTTAGCTGGGCAGTCAGGAAAACACATCAGGGTCATTCAAAAAAGCTTCCCAGCAGTAAAACCTTCACTCAGTGCATTGTGAGGTTTTCCAGTGTTCCCCTCACTGAATGCTAGGAAGCTCCCAGAAGAATCCACCTTTTCTTCTGTACAGGCTCATCAGGAATGGTCTCTGTGTTCTGGCCTGGTTCCCTAGCTCTGAAATTTTTTTCTCTATCCATTTAATCGCTTCCTTGTTACAGGTGCTAGTAGGTTGGTCCTGGTCTTCTCAGGACCAAAGAACAACTCACATTCCATTTAATCAAAGGAGAATGCTCTACACTGTAAGGATAAAATGCCCCTCAACCCGTCAACAGGGAAGAGTTCAGTTCTGTGGTCAGAGCAGCTCAATGCCAAGGGTAGTCCTGACTCAGGCACCAGACAGGGACAGGTAAGCACTCCACAGGAGTCTACACACACACACACACACACACACACACACACACACACACCCTCCTACGGCAGGAGGCCATGTTCAGCATCCTTCCAAACCAAAGAGCCCGTCCACAGCATACAGAGAATGCGTCAGACATTTGAGGAAATTACTGGGGTCCTGTGGGAACAGACGCCATCTTTATTCTGATGGCACTGAGGTAAGATGTCTAACAGGATCATGTGCTCACATGGTACCAGAATCCAGGTAGTGGTGTGCTACATGTGTAAACAGCCGTAAATCCCCCCCGCCCCCGGCCCCCAATCTTGAGTCCTTAGTAACAGCCAGGGCAACTAGGGAACTATAGAATGGAGCTTCTGGGTGCTTCATCAGTGCAGCTACGTTAAGGAAAGTTGCTAGGGTTGGGGGGTGGGGTGGGGAAACTGCATTTCTCACAAAAGAGACTGATCCCTGGGCTTAACCCTTGACAGTTTGTGCCTTGCTGGATTCAGGGAAGATGGTCTAGGGAAATGGCTGCCTCCGTACCAATGTTTGTAGGATGCTCCCTTGGCATCTGGCAGAGAGAGGCTCAGACTCTTGGCCATGGGTGATAACATGTGACAGCCATTGCCAGAAGGCTTGGTGGCTTGTGTTAGCCGGCCATTTCAGTGTGGGATGGAGAGCCGACCCACCAGGTGCCATCACTCACAAAGCTCTGGCCAATAATTCTGTGCATCTGTGTGCCTCGCCTCGCTGTTCTGAACTGCTTGGTTGATGGGCTTGGGCAAGACTGGCAAACAGGAGCTGACTGTGTACATACACACACCAAACAAAGCAAACATCAGTGTCTACCCTGTGTCATAAGACCCTTAAAAAATTCAGTTGACATCACCTCACCATACGGGCAGGAGAAGGAAAAAAAAAATCAATTTTCCAAGGCATTCTGGGACCCTCCACACTAGGTGGAAACCAACAGATTTGGTGAAAATCAAAAAATGAATCAGTCAAATTGACTGACCCTGCCGCTAATGAGTAACACACGCAACTCCACTTCAAGATCCCAGGTTGCCTCCTGGCCCGAAGGCAAGGCAGCTGTCCGCAATGCATCTCGGTTCTCCGATGCTTCTCCTTGGTCTAACATTTGTTCTCTCTGGGGCTCAGCACCTCTCTGCCTGGAGCCATGCCTAGAGATCCTCCATGAAGTCTCCTGCTGCCTTCGGCATACCCGATCTGGCTGCAGACTCCATGAAACCTGTCATGCAAATGCCATTCAGGCAGCTGAACTGCAGCCAGGAAGCCAAGGCCCTGCCCCCAGCCCCGACAGGGTGGCGTCATAATGCCACACGGAATGTAGGATAAGGAGCAAGGATGACAACTGCTGCTCCTGGGTAGATCATTTGACAGAGAAATTTATTTGCTGGCAGACTTCCGACTGCAGACGTGCTTGGCACTGGCTCGCTGCCATGCAAATGAAATAAAAATCAATATCCTTGGGTCTGTAAAACAGTGTGTCAACAATCACACTCCAAACAACTTATATAATCTCCTTCACCCCATACCCAAATAGCATGAGTGCTTTCTGTTCTGGTGCTGTACAAAATAAACAGAAAGGAAGGGGGTGTGGGTGGGGGGAGATTTTGCAGGACCTCCTCCTTCAGCAAAACCTTTCCAGGACTTCAATGAGAAGATAATCTTTCTGTGATTATGACCAAACCCTTCCGTTGCTTAGCAACACATAATTAAGGAATATGTTTTCAGATCCGCTTTGCAAGCCCAGCCATTATCAGATGAAATTACTGGAGCAACAAATGTCATCGCCATGCAAATTAGTTGGTTGCAAAGAAAGAATGTTTGACTGAGAAAAAAGGCATGGCCCCTCAAAAAAAAAAAAAAAATCTGACTTCCCCCTCCTGGCACACATGTATCTCCAAGTCAAAGTATATAATTGCGATTAAAAAAAAAAAAAGGGAGGGGGGACAGAGACTGTATCAGTAGGCAAGAGAAAAATAAGAAAAAAACAAAAATAAACCAACCAAACAAATCACAACCAAAACTGTTAGCTAGTCTCTCTTAGAAAAACAAGGTTCTTGGAGGGCTGACTCTTTAGTCCTGACAGTACAGTAGCTCTGTGCTGTTCTCATAAAACAAACAAACAAACAAACAAACAACAAAACAACTCATCTCAGAGCTTGTAAGACTAGACTCAATCCAAGGATATTTTAGAGGATACTGTAAAAAATCTCTATATAGTCTTTCTCAGTCCACTGTCCCTGTTCTATACACTCCATACTTAACTTAAAGTAATAGTTTAATTGTTTTTAAACTTTTTTGAGTGCTCAGTGGTTAAGAGCACTTACTCCTCTTGCAGAGGACCTGGGTTCAGTTCCTAGAACAGGGGATTTGATGCCCCCTCTTCTGGCTTCTGTGAGCTCTGGCACAGGCATACATGCAGGCACTCATACATATACATGAAACAAAGTAGAAAAAAATTAATAGAAATGATTTGATTTTTCTGAATTATGCATGGTGGGAGGCAAAGGAGAAAAGAAAAAAAGAAAACCGATCAAGACTTTTCAGTCAGGATTCTAGAGTTAAACACTAACTGTTCGGGACGCCCACCAAGAGGTTTAACCAGTGTCCAATGAAAAGCACACAGTGACTCACACTTGGCTTCTGCTTTGAAGAAAAGCACCTAGCATCCTCCCCCTCTCAACTTGGAAATAGTATCTTCCCAACGAACAAGCAGAATTCCCAACAGTACTTTCTAAAATGAGAGGCTAAGTCTGTTTTTTCAAATACTTCTAAGGGATTTCAACATTTGCTTTGTTTAGCCCACAACTGTGGAAGCAGACACATTCTTATCAGCAGTAGGTAATCTCTGCCTTTGACACTGTGTGCTGGCCTTGCAGAGGGGTGCTGTCGACACCACCAGGTACTCTTACTAGGAAACTATCCACGAACAACTTACAGGAGCCATTCCGTCAGATGCTCCTGACTTTTCCAAAGCTATCCAACGGAATTAGAGAACCACCCTTCCTGTGTATAAAATGGAACAGTCACTCAGAATGGCTTCCGATTCTCTCAGGGAAACAGCTATGTTTCAGCACCAGAAGGAGGTATCTGCAAACAAACTGGGCCTTAGCCTGATACGTAAATCTGTGGAATGAGTAGCCCACGGGAGGAGGGAACTGACAACATTCACACTGATGCTTTCCTGGGATGGTGTGTGTGTGTGTGTGGGGGGGATAGGGGTGAGACAAGACAGACATTATCTCCTCTTTAAACATGACCAGTAGGTATATAGACATACTATTCCTTTCTCAAACCTCTATGCCTTCCCCTGCCCCCTTAAACTCCCAGCCAGAAAGTTACTTGGTTCTGGAGTTAGCATGGTTGACACGATGATAGGAGCCCCTGTTCGCCGCGCCACCTTCTGGTACGGTGAATGAGGTGTGTGGAGACTTTGGCTGACTGGTGGCAGGGCAGACGGTTCCATGGGAGCTGCTCCAGGTTTCCGCAGGAGCTGGGGGCTGCCATGGGGGCTGGGCAGTGGAGAGGCGGTCATGCTGCGCTCCCTCTTAAGCAGTTCCATGGGCACCGTGTATGAGGTGGAGTAGGCTGTTCTAGGACTTGAGTGAAGGGGGACAGAGGGGCCTGGGTTAGCAGTCAAGGCTACCCCAGCTGTTGAAGGATATGAGGAGGCCAGCCGTGCAGTTAGGGCACAAGGGGTGGGAGAACTATATCCAGAGTTGGAGGGTAAGTGGGGGGTTTGGGATCCCACCACTGGGGCGGAGTAAGTAGCTGCTGTCTCCAGAAGGTGCTGGGAAGGTGCACTGGAGGGGCGGCGACCTAGATCTCCAGCTCCGGGAGAGGCTGTCTGCAAAGGTCCAGCAGGGTGAAACTGCAGGGCTGTGGTACCCAGTGAGGCCATGTCATTGGGCAGCAGCTCACTTCGGTGGCTGAAGCTACTGGACCGATGGCGGGGTGGAGGGCCTGTCCGGTCCTGTCTCCGGAACTGCATTTCTGTCCTGCAGCTGCTGGCAAGGCGGCTGAGGACACGCGCCTGGCCCAGGTTGGGTGCAACAGACTTGATGTCCGAATCCTCCATGGTGGCCAAGACAGCAGGGGAGTCAAAACCTTGCTGTAACAGGGCTGCCAGGGTAGCCTCTGCCACACCCTCTGCCCTCAGCAGGGCCAAAAACTCAGGGTACACGGTCCTCTTGCCTCCGGGTCCTTGGAACGTAGACAAGTCGGCTTCATAATTCTCATAAGCCATCTTTGAATGGATGCTTTCTCGGGTAGGCCCGTAGCCTCTATTCAGGGAACCTGGGGCTACCCCCGTGCTGTTCTCAGTAGGGGCAGCTGAGCTGGGGTCCACAACCAAGCATGTTGGGGTCACCTGTCTGGCAGGGGTAGAGTCAACAGGTCTTTCACAGATATCGTTGTAGACCTGACTGGAGTTGGGGGAATAGGTGGGTACCTCTATCCCTAATCTAGCATCAGGCGGCTCCCTTCCATACCTCCCAGGAGACAGAGCCCTGCCGTGTGTCCGCTGCCCATGTGGGACAGTTTTACCCCCAGATTCCCGGTACAGGTGGCCAGCATCCTGCAGGGCAGGTAACTGGCCCTGTACCTGCTCCCATGGCATTCTGCTGCCAAGCACTCCGTAGCTGGGCACCGGCCGGCTGGTTCCTGGGTCCCGATAGAAGGGAGGGTCCTTGGGTACCCTGGTGCCCCTGGATGGGTCGCCATAGTAGTCTTGTGGCAGCACGGAGCCACGGCCAGACATCACTGCCTGCCTGCTGTCGTAGAAGGTGAAGTCAGGCACAGAGCCCTTTCTTGATGCCAGTGAGTTATAAAAAGCTTCCCGGGACAGGTAGGACTCGGTGTCCTGGGCGCGATGGTTTAGCAGCTCACACCAGGTCCCTTCTCCAGGGCCATACGTCAGAGAACTTCTCCTCCCTGGAGGCCCAGCATTCTCCCAAGGGCCCTCATACCAGCCAGCGGCATCCCAGCTCTGGGAACGGCCAATATTGATGTGCCTGCTGGGAACCGGCATCGGCAGAGCAAATGACTACAGCAAAGGCAGGGAGGAAGCCTTTCTTTATAAATCTTCAATTACATACATCAAAACCAGACCTGGCCGCACGCGAGCCCTTCCGAGACGGCAGGAACAACCAACTGGGGGTTTCTGTTTCAAGGCACGACCTAAATTATTAATCCTCTGAAACCTTAGTAGGCAAAAAGCAGACTCACGGTAACTTTGCCTCACTCCCCAACGGTAGCCCGCCTGCGAGGTCTGTCCTGTGTGCCTCTAGCCCACGCAGGAGGCTGTGCTCCAGCCTGCTGGGCCCCCTTTCCAGTGGCTGTGCTCACATGGCCCTCAGCTCTTGCAGCATGAGGATTAAGAGCTAAATAAAACCCCTAAAGCTTTTGTTCCATGTGACATCTCGGGCTGATGAAGCTGGCTGCTTGCTTTAGCCAGGCCTAAGAGGCAGCTGGAATGATCTCACATGGCTTTGCCCCTGAGTCTGATTCCCCCTCCCATCCTTGCCTGGTTTCTCTCTCATCCCTCTTGGGGGAGCCCCCAACCAGTCCCTCTTCACTAAGTGCAAGAGAAGCAAACTGGGATTACTTAGCTGTCCACCCAGTCCTAATCCCTCTGCCTGAGACATTAATCTAGAAGCACATAGCTTCGACAGATCAAATGGAGGTGTGCACAGGACAGCCCGGGCCCGATTCCAGAACAAGAGATGTTCTGGGAGGCAAGGACTCTGTCCAGCATCAGAACCTGGCTTTTAAGATTCTGGTTATAGATCAGACAGGTTATACAGCTCAAACTCAAATTCTCTGCACCTTTAGATGCCAAGATAGATTCTTTCATACCACAGGGAAAAAGACAAAGTGTGGATTAGGACCTGGAGTTCTCACTGTAAGACAACAACAGGGATTGGGCTAAGCAGAGGGCTGGCCACCAAGGAAGAAAAACAGGATCTCCTGTGTCTCTCATCTCAGCCTGTGGGGCATGTACAAAGCCCCCATCCTCCCTGCTGCTAACCCTCCCGATACCTCTGTGTTACAGATTTCACAAAATAAACCGAGGTGGTGATCAAGAAGTATATTTAAATGAGTTCATGTAACTGTACACAGCCACAAGACCAAAAAATTCTGCGCTTTCACCTACTTCTCTCAACTAGACAAATACTAGCCATTTAAAAGGGAAAAAAAAAATCAAATGTGAGAAACATGGAAAACTTACTTTGAGGTGGGAATTTGGATACAGTACCATTTCTATGAAGTAGGTTTATGGTCATTCCATCCTTTTACCATGCCCATGTCCAGTCCCCAATATCCAATACAAATTCCATGTCACACTCCCTAAGGAATTCTGATCCCTCCAAACAATTTTTCAAGAGGCCACAGATGTCACCCTTCCCAGTGCAACTGTGACTAATGCTGGACCACTGTGCAATTAACCCGAAGACATGACTCTAAAGACTATGGACCACTGTGCTGGCACCGCTGCCCCTATTCCTGATATATCCTAATGTCATACTAGATGGAAATGTCCTAAAATTCAGTTAGAATGAAACCCAGGAATGACAAAGACTGCATAGCATCACTGTAACGCATAGGATGGCCATACATGAACTACTATTACTAGACCTTCTCGGGGCAGTGTCTGGAACCTAACCACAACACACTGTGCCTGATTTCCTGAGAAATCTCATCCTACCTGAAAAGGGCAGGGTGGGTCCAGTTTCTAAAGGCTTAGGAGTTTCAGGGATGTAACCTTACTTACCGTTAAAAAAAAAAAAAAAAAACCCTCTGGGCTGGAGAGGGCTGAGTGGTTAAGAGCACTGACTGCTCTTCCAGAAGACCTAGGTTCAATTCCCAGGACCCACATGGCAGCTCAGAACTATCTGTAACTCCAAGATCTGAAACCCTCACCCAAGTGACATACACATGGGCAAACCACCAGTATAAATTCAATAAAGCAGACTGAAAACGAACTGAATGGCCGACAAAGAACTGCGGGTGGTGTTTGCTGGCAGGCCGTTCTTGAATTCTGTGCAATTGGGGGCATGATTCTGGCTTAGGGAAGAGGACTGGCTGATAAGGGTCAAGAGCCCCACAGACAGGCCTCAGAGAAATACCCACACCTCCAAGTGCTTCACAACCAGTCAACCAGCTGTAAAACTATTATAAGACTATCAGAAGGGTAACTGAGAGGAATTGCCTAAAAGACAAAATCAGACAGCACCGTCAGTGCCAAGGCCATCTGAATGTGAAGGTCACTTGACCCTTCTTTAGGGCCCCATGCAGCTTCCTGCTAAACCTGGTGGGATGATGCCTGTGGGTAGCTCTCAGTCTCTTGGGAGCTGCTTGGGCTTGGTGGGCAGCTGGCCCTAACCTGGGACACTATGGAAGCACCTGTGACACACAAGCACTAAGAAGCCAGGCCTCCAGCGTGCTCTCCCAACACCTATGCCATGCACAAGACTAACGAAGCTCTAAAGGTAGAAACCAGAACCTGCTGGGGGACGTGGGACCTCTCGTCCCTGATGGATACCAGGACGAAGAGATGGCCGTGGCCTCCCATAGCCAGCAGTGCTGCTGAGGTCAGTGGGTTACACATTGCCTTCCAGCTGAGACAGAGTCAAAAATAGGCCCAAGCTGTGCCTACTTCCTACTTTTAAATGTGGACAGGCTGTGCTTGGCTTTTTCTTTTTTTAAATCCCATTCTTTGAAGATAACCGATCTAGAGTTTGTGTTGAAATGCAGCTTTTTTTTTTTGCCCTTAAAAAAAAGGGGGGGGGGAGGCCTTTTCTCTTGTGAACCCAATGTTCTTTACTGAAATAAGGTGTTAATTCTATAAAGCACTGGGAAAAGAGCCACAGGAAATGTGGTGGGTGGGGCTTAAGGCTACTTTTATTCAAATAGTCGGAGCACTTGAATTAGAACTGTGGCCAGGGTCAGCTCAGCTGCCATGAATAAAGCACAGAGCTTTCACCTCAAACGGGCGTTCTCATTACTTCTTGGCCTAGAGCATTAAGGCTGGGAGCATATTTACCTTGATCCAAAGAGACTCTCTGTGTGTGTGTGTGACAGAGAGAGAGAGAGAGAGAGAGAGAGAGAGAGAGAGAGAGAGAGAGA